TAACATGATATTTTTATAAATTTCATTAACATAATTAAATTAATTTCATTAAATTCCAATATATCAATATATAATATATCAAACATTATTTATTCTTTCTTCAAATCAATACATTAGAATTGTATACGGACATTCATCTTCAATTTATTTACTTTATATTAATTATATATGGTATATATTTACATATTTATTTTTGAGGATTAGGGGATATTCTAATAATCATAGATATATATATATATATTTATTTAGATTCTATTTTTTCAAGTCGTTTTTTTATTGAATATACCTGTGGTGATTCATTGGGTATTTCCAGGATTTCTGTTCAATATATTTTGGTTGTCTTCAATTTATTCCATCTTGTATTCTATTGATTTGTTTGACCAACCTAGTGCCCCCATGCTACAAACAACTCCTCAGCAAAGCCAACGCAATTCTAGATCACGAAGGTGGGCGACACCACTTCAAAGCTCCGGTCCACGTGACGGCCCCCCACAAAATCAATCATTGCTGTTCAATCATGTTGAAAATCCATCTCACGCCTCTTTTCTCAGCTCGCAGTTGTGCTGCAGTACCTCGACGCTACGGAGTCTCTTCGTCTTCCCAAAGTCCTCTGAAAGAAAACATGTCCCTCTGCTGGAAAGAAACGACAACAAGGAGACTCTCGGTCTACACCACCAGCCCGAGATCCTGGTTCACAGCTTGCTTCCTCCCAAGCGGATGACAACAAACCGTGCCGAACTGCCTCTCGCAAGGCTTCCTTCAGGAGAGCTTGTGAAGGTGAAGGTTTCTGCCTCGGAAGTGTTTGTGCCATACTTGTGTTGGGAGGACAGTGGCGTGGCTTCAGTCCTTGAAGTCAGCAGAACTCCCACAGCACACAGCATCCATCCAAAGCCAACAAAGTCTCAGGGGGTCTGAAGGGCAGGGTAGTGGTGCCAAAGCTGCAATGATTTACCAGCCAGAAAACAATTGGGATACATTAGTATCTAGTAGGGCTATTCAAAAACCAGTCAACAGGAGTATGTGGAAACAGCCGGCCTGATCATATTGAACCACTCTGAACCATATCCACAAACTAGGGTTCCAGAACTTCCTTAGTCTTAATGCATCTTTTTTTTGCCCAAACAGTTTACTGTTAGGGGTTCTCAATGCTTTAAAGAACGGTCGCCTTGGTGCTGGATGGTCTGGTCCGGTTCCCGGCTGGCTTGTCTCCCACGTCCTTTCATTTGTCTCCCACTTCTTTTCATTTGTCTCCCAGGCTGGGTGCTTGTGGTCGGGTTCCCGGCCGGCTTGTCTCCCACTTCTTTTCATTTGTCTCCCACTTCTTTTCATTTGTCTCCCAGGCTGGGTGCTTGTG